GTAGGTTTCCCTAATTATAGGCTAAAGCCTTTAAAAGAAGTTCTCTCTTTGGATTGCGCAAAGCACTTCAGTTTAGTGATTATGCTACATAGTGGAACAAAGGGATGTCGCGTTGGTATGTGATGTTGAGGACACGAAATTGAGCTCTGATTATTGCCAACCATAATTCGAAATGCTTTTATGCTCAGCATTAAAGGGAACATCTTCGATGTGGTTCCATTTATAGGCCAAGGATACGAGAATTTAGAGAACAGGTGCGTCGAAATGATACCCCTTCCTATTTGATTCGATTGAGCTTGCACGTGATTGCGCTAAAAGCCTTATCGTGCATCACGGATGAACTAAACCCCACTTAGCAAAAACGAAACTGGAATCAAGTAGATCAATAGTTACACACTGCTCAGTATGCTAGGCTAAAAATTATCCGACCGGAGGCTAGGGGAAGCTAAGAAAATTGTAAGTTCACACCTTTGGGACAGTCGATTGGCTTCACACCCATGCTTCCACTACATATACGCTCAGTCTTGCCTGTAAGTCACGTCGCGTTCAGTCAGCTTAAGTTGTCACGCCTGGCCAAGCACAATCTACTCTATAACCTAACCACCTCATTGACCGACTAGTGAATCGAGGTTAAAAAATGCGACATTAATACTTTAGATAACCCGAACCCTAGTATAGAGAAACCTGGTAAAACCAAACAGGCTGAATTGACTAATCACAAGCCAAAAACCACACGTTAGGAGCCGTCCATCCGAGTCCAACACGCACCTCATTCGTGTTCTTCTCTGGTTGGCTGCGTGTCTATCTCCAAAGCCATTATATCGCAGAGCGATTGAGGACTGGCTGAGACCAACGTCAATCAATATGTCTGCGCCCTCAGGCGTCACCCAAATACACACAAATCGACTAAGCTGCAAAGCAGTCACACACGTGTCAAAATGGAGCAAGTCGCTGATCACCCATCGCTCACAGATGTCATCGGACGAGACCATTACGCCAACATTCCATAATACACTGAACATCCGTCGTTATAGTTTCGGCATCCTGTGGTCTACTTTCACCTCAACAAGATAATCTCACAAACCTCCAAATATCATCGTGTTTTGACAGAACTCCCGATCCGTGTAGGACTTCCAGATCTTGATCTGATTGAGGAAACTCCTGAATATAAGCCCTATGATGAGTTGAAACAAGCGGTGGTAACGCAAATGAATCAAATCGTTGAAACTCGTGCACAAAGTCTTTTTCCCGATGTTGATTTGGGCAGCAGGTTACTGTCGGAACTGTTAGTGCACATGCGACGTGTGCTTGAGGGCAGGCAGATTGGTGACATGGAACTGTGCCATTTGTGGACCAAGTGCATGCCGGAGAAGATGAGGCCAGGTCTTGGGATTTGTACTTAAGGCGCGCCGATTTCGCTGATGACTGTCTTAGACGACTGCGAGAAGACGAAAGTCGAACCAGCCAATTCATCAAAGTGGAAGAGAAACTCGCTTTGAGGGCCCCAGCACGTGTCCTGAACCGCGCCGGGGCCACAGAATTACAACTGACCCGATTACTCTTCCCTCGTAGCCGAGATGAAGGAAACGACCAGAGAGGACGTGGACACAACCGTCTGCTCCAGAGCTCAACCACGTTGGTGTCGTTGTGTCGCGTGTGTGGTGTGCGTGTGTGTATTTATACCTCAGATGCGTGAGTCATAGATGCGCTAACGTCGAAACATACGTGTGAAATAATCAAAGTTAAATATTAGTGCGAATGAGGGGGAGCTGAGGATTCGCGTGGCTGGCGTGATGCTGCAAACAAATGGACCAGTTGTCGGAGTCTCGACTGACAAAATTAACGAGTGGAAATCAGTGCGATTCGAAAAAGCACCATCCATTTAAAGATAGATAAACTTGCAAGATGCCTCATTACCGATTTCGTCATTGTTCACACCATTTGTGTAACCACGCCACTTCAGCGGATGAGTCACCAGGACAACCTCCTGACAGCTCACGTTTGTTGATACGTTTTGATCAGCCCGGTCAAGGTTATCTTTTGCCTGAGAGGACAGAGGCTCTCTTTATGATGTCACTTCGAGCGTCAGACATGGGATATTTGAGTGTGTGTTTTCCTGGTTACGACCACACTTCGAATTTTCAGAACACCGATTAACAAGTTTTCGTGAGTTGCATAACCTCTAGGAATCGCAGAGTTCACGATGGCAAGTTTTAAACAGAACGTTCGACACTGCACTTTATACGTATTCCAAGGGAAAAAGTGATTAATACCGCTGGGAAGTAAAATTCTAATATTCTTGGTGCCGAGTTTGGCCAGTCCATCACCATGTTGACCACGTCAGGGTCAACGGAGTCTGAACTGTGACAAGTCGCTTGAGAGATACTTGACTGACTGCTGCAAAAACAGCATTTTTTGGTCTGATGGACAGATTAGCTTGGCTAAAACTACAGAGAGTACCTTCAGGGTTGCAGGGAAAAGACTTTTTTCTTTAGCTAAACACTCTGATGCCGATTAGGTAGACCAGGCATTTCTGTTGGAGGAGTCCTGGAACGAGTTTCTTCACAGCTTGTTGGCAGGTAGCTGCCGCGTTGGTCAGGCCCACAATGTGGTCGCATAACACGTTGACACCAGATGGTTCTGATTCGTACTATGTTCTCGAGCCTCTTGGTCCACCTTGATTTGTCAATGGCTGCCGGAGGGGTCAAGAGTGAGGATACACATTTGTCTAGTAAACGCGGGAGAAAGTTCATGCATGGTGGATGAGGTAAAGAGATGCAGTTTGTTATTGGTCCGTAGAGCTTAAAGTGTACGGCATCTCTATCGCTACGTTGATCACGCAGTTATGTCACAGAAAGGGGTTCATTTGGAGTGTTTTAACGTGTCTGCACAAGATTTAAGTCAATAAAGAATAGAAATGCGACATCTTATAGCCCAGCCCTCAGGCAGTGGAATCAGGACACGAAAGTGGATGACAGATCTGCTTGATTGTTACCGTTCAGTAATGCAAACCTGCTCTGTATCAATCCATCCACGAACGTTGGCTTGAACAGAGCATGCGTCCCACTTCTGCTTCTATAGATTGGGCATGTCGAGTGGTTTTTCGTCGCCACAAATCGCGAGAATGTGCCTTGTCTTCGCCAGACGCCATTCGATCGACAATTGTCAGTATTGCGTGCATTGAGAATATGATCATTCACCATGATATTAAGGTTAAAAGTTATTTTGTGACTCCGAATCTACAGTCACACCAAGTTGCTGTTCGCATTAACATTTCGTCCCTCAGTCTTAATCACTCAACTCCTCGATTTCACTTCAACAAGGCAAACATAAGCCTGCGCATCTGAACATACACTTGATTTCCACTTTGGCCTCGACTTCTGTTTGAACCTCTGACTGCGATGATTAAGCTCTTTCCCACAGCTATTGTCTACTCTTTTTCAGTGTAGCCTTTGACGTACCAAACGAGGAGTTAGGTGTTGACAATAGGAAGCAGTTCTTCCAAAGTATGGGGAATTCTGCCATTGATTTGCTGTACTGGAAGAAAATCATAAATGCCTTTTGGGAGGCACTCCTGCAGAGCTGACTTGGCTCCATCTAGTGGAAACGATAAGCGGGCAAGGCGGCAGGGCTCCGCGAAGTACTCTGGAAATGTTTCGCTGGAAATTGATGTCGACCGTAGAACTGGATAAGAACAGCGTTTGCGTGTTTGCCATGGTGAATGAGAAGCCTTATGGTGTCGATGTTGATTTGCAATGAGGAATCAATAGGGGTACTGGTGGGTAGCGCCTTCCGTACTTCAGGTAAAAGTGCAATGAGTATCAACCTGCTGTAGTGTTCTTTAGGGATGAAGAACAGTTGAAGGTGAATAACATTGTGCTAATGTGTGAAATTGTCTGTGATCGTTGTCGGTGATCGAGGTCGAGTCGGAAGTGGGTCAGCGAAGTCAGCGCATGCTGATTAGGTGCCCCAAAAGAGGGGTAATCAGTGCGTGTTAGGGTTCGGTAAACTAACTGTAACGGTAACTACTAGAGGGTATGGCTTACACCAAAATGTAACGTGGCTCATGCTTAGCAATGGGCAGAGCTTAATGAGGCAATAGGACACACCGTATCTGCCTCCACTAAGGCATTCGAAGACAGGAGACGAATGAAGACAGTACACATTTAACGGGTGTTTGTTAAGGGTGGGAATCAACAAAACGAGTAGGCAATGTAGTCATTGAGATTACGTTGGGTCTTATCCACACTCCGTGGGACGGACAGGTCTCCATAGGCGAGCATTCGGAAAGAGGTTGCCAGTAGCAATAGGGGTTGCATTGCATGCTGTGTGGCATGCGTGACAGTGATGTGGTTTATAAATGCGAAAAGCACAAACAGTTCATTTTTCGGTTGGTCAATTAAGCATCACAACCTTTTCAACATGAGCAGAACACATGCGCGTAATTGATTCACTTTGCGTAGCAAGAGTTAACACCAAACAAGTGTGGGACGTCTTGTGTACACAATCACTCCGCCCGGGTACGTAGAGAAGAGAGGCGACAACCTTGTGTTGGCGGAGTCAGCGCTTCCAAGACTAATTTCTCAAGATATGTATGTGAGTATACGTTTCTCACAATCACCTACAATTTATGCCCAACAAATCTCAAATCCACATCCCTACTAAATCAAGTTAACGATATCTTGGACACAATGGATAGTGACAACTAAACATCGATAGAGCAGTCAATGGCCTGGCCTTGATGACCGACCCCTTGAGTGGCGTGGTTAGGACAGTTGTGTTAATAGTGACGAAACCCTCCAAATCACCTACACAAGGCTAACTCACTTCACAACGATGATTTCGACGCGATGGATCGAGTCTGATTGACACACAGTTTGAGCTATCAATGGTGTGACGTGGCTGTTGACTCACTTGTGTGGCGTGGTTAGGGATTTGTGTTGACAAAGACGAAGTCGTGACTAACGGTGATTGCTATCGGCTTTATCCTGACTCACGATATGGAACCTGGTGGTGTTGAGCTGAACAAGGATGAGTGTGTGGTGGTGTGTAAGCCAGTGCGTTTGAGTGAGGCGTGCATACTGACCTACTCGTGTCAACGACGCATTTCTACTTCTGTCTTCTTTCTCTTGTCCAATAAGGCGGCTGTGATATCTTGGGTATTTAGAATCCAGCATGATACCGGCAGCTACATTCGCAATGGGCCCTTGTCGTTTGATGTGAACACGGAAGAGTCTAAATTGTGCGCCAAGCAAATCAAGACTCTGACGATCGGTGATACCTGCACACGCTAGTCTGCATCTTGCTAATCCACGCCCTGAATCCTTGTCTCTCAACATTCCGTTCTTAATTAAAATTCCAATTTTCACTTTGTTTGTTCATTCTAGCAGAGACTGCATTATCCAACTACTTGCCCCTTTGTCGCTCTGCATGTACGCTTCATTTGGACGGTACGAAACTTGATCTTTAAACTGATTTTGAGCTCATCCGCATTTCAAATTGCCTGCACTACAACCTTGCGACAAGGATGCGTATTTCATTGTAACGACTGATCTTTCAACTCGCGCAACCAAACGCAAACTAAACTTGTGCCACCTGACTAATTGCGTACGTCGTGCCATGGTGGTAGATGTAGGACAGTAAAAGAGGCCCTGGTGAATACCAACTGTGCCAGACACACATGATTGCCTTCAATCGATAACAGTGCACTAAAACAGCAAT